ACCATACCTGCTGATAATCGTTAAATATACCATCCCTACGTCCATGATAAATATATATGGCGCCATTGCCAAAACCATCTCCGTCAATATCTGGTTGATCTTGAGGTGCTCCAATAATGAAATCTGGTATAAGATAAAATCACAACAAGTGAGATCAAATCGATCATTAAACCGTTTTAAATAACTTTAAAAGTCACAAGTAGCTTTGTGATTAGTGTTTTAGCATGGCTATATGTATACAAGTTGAAAAGTAAAACAAAGAAATTTCACACGAAAAAACATCCACAATTTCTTAGTTCTTGCTGTCTTTAACAACTTATAATCGACATCATGCTATTAACCTGCACAACAAAAAACAAATAATCAACCGCATTTAATTGTAAATATACCTAAAATCCCATCATTATTAAGATCTCCTGCGCGTGTTATGGACCATCCAAATCTTGCCCCATAGTGTTACTGCCCCGTAAACCAGGATCTTGTCGCGTTTTCTCATTAGGAGAAAGTTCAAGGATTCGATTCTAGAAAATATAAATGTTAATGAACTCCAGCTTCACATTATTTTGAATTTTAGATACTTTAGCACAGTACATATTTTCCCTTGGTTTTGAATTCGCGCACCAAGTGGACTTATACTCGTGCAGAACATTTCTTATGTTTTGTCTTTTTACTACAGTTAAATTATGCTGTACTTAAAATTTGTCATTACAAAGTTGTATAAATTATATAGCACAGAATTTTGCGTGAAACTTAGCAAAACTTTTCACCGCCCAATGTAGGCACAATTTTTCCTTAACTGTTTCATGCTTGTAAGACATAAGGTTCAAGAATCCAGAAAATACTAAATGAATACAAAATAGTGAACAGTAATTTACCTGATTTGATAGTACACTAAGGTATACGTAAACACGACCTTCATCACCCCTGTCGCTGAAGAATGGGGCTCCAACTAATAGATCAGAAAAACTATATCAAGGCAAAAAAACAAATTAATAAAAACAAATTGGTCCGCTTCATGATCACCAATGCACTCAGACTCAGATTCATGTATGTCATAAATCACGTGTATGATTCACCCAATCACTAGAGTTACTGGAAAACAAAGCAAGCTAAATTTTCCATGACATGAAGTATCAAATTCTTATAACTGTGAATTAAGGAGTATAAAGTTAGCCATTTCTATTATGATTTATTATTATATGGGAAGCGTCACTTCAGGCCAAATGGCGCGCTTTGATAGGCTCGGAAACATTTTTGCCGGTCTATTATTTTCTCGTAATCGACTACGGTCCAAAAGACGTAATTTTACAGTCAAATGTAAAGAAATTTCAAACAGCAAAACGCAAAATAAACGAAACAAAAAAAAAACATTTACTAATGTGATTCGAAGGAAAAACATTTGCAAAGCAGTTAAACTATCCAGACAATAAAATTTGAAACGATTTATTTTCTATGAACGAAAACTATAAAAGTGAAAGCCAACCGGTAAAAAAACAGCAAGGACGAGAAAGAAAGCAATTTCAGGTCAAATAATGCCATATAATAAACCTTTTAATAACCTCGCTTTCTCGGTCTTTACTGAGAAATATCGGACCTCTGTCTTTTTGTACAAACCTCGCTCTACGGGCTCGGTCTGTACAAAAACACCTCGGTCCGATATTTCTCTGTAAAGACTTCGCGCTCGGTTATTAAGGGCTTAATAGTCAACAATAATCTACTTCCTTTAATTTGAGCTCTCACACACTTGAAACACGCAAAAACATTTCGTATAAGAAATGAATGAAAAAGCAAAGCTAGAATACATACAAAATTATTTTTTCTCATGCTTTAAAGCAAAATACGCGAGCAGTATTGATCCTTTATGCTAAAAATAATTTACCCATCAGCGTTTACATCAATTCCACAAACGGAAGCTCCAAAGAAGATAAACTCATTTCTCTAAAAAACAAAATAACTCATAAGACAGTGACGCAATGATCTCAAAACATCTCGTGCGCAACGCTCATAACATAAAAATATCAACTTTATATACAATTCGATGAGCACTTTGCTTATATAAGCTACAACTTGATAAAAGTACAACCTCGTAGTTATCTGTATAAAGAACTGATCTTTCAAACTATTTAATCACAGTGGAACTGTAACTTTATATATTTCTTGTTGTAGCTCACAACTGTACATTAACAGTAAAACTATAGCTACCGAGTTACCATAAATTACACCACAGTCACGTGACACACCCTATACTTTATTTATTTCCCACCTTAGTAAATGAAAAATCACTAAAACTCAATCTCTTGATGAAATCATAACAAAATGAAAACGCCAATTAAGCTTTATTTGTTGATAAAGGCATTGAAAGTTACAAATGTCAAAATAAAAATAGTCAATTGCTTCGTCTTAAAATTTTCATCAAATTATAGTCATGTGTTACAATTTTTGTTTTTCAACTTATGTATTTACTGGATTGGGTATTTTAATAAATAGAAAAATCTTTTCAAGATATTGAATCATGTGTTGCGGGAATTAGCATGCACTAGTAAGTTTGCATAAAAAATTAAGTAGCCCCTAGCCTGTTTTCAGCCCCTCTCTTATATTCCCACTTAAAAGGTAAACCTCCGTCTAACTCCAACAATTTTTTGTTTCGCTTATAACAAATCAAGTTCTGTTGTATATAATTTCATCCGAGGTAAATGCACTATTTAAACATACGCTAATCAACTAACTATACTTACTTCTTGGACTTTTTGGTGGAAAAATATTAACGATAACGGAATCCAAATTTTCACGATAAACTCTAACCTGTTATAACAATGAAATATAGTAATTTTGTAGTAAATACGATACTCCCATTGTTCAAAAAGTAGATGTGTAGTACACAATTTACATTCAATCATCTATAAATAATGTGTGTATAAGTAACTACTACCATGAAACAAACTACATAGTGTATCAAAAATTGCTAAAAATTTTATGAAATGTTCAGAAAGCTATCATTTCATCAAAATTTCTAAATTTTTAAATTTTCTAACTTTTCCTAATACACGTGCACTCTGTATACCTGTGTAAACGAAACTAGTGAAAAAATAAAAAATCTAGACTACCCAGAGATGAAAGTAATGTTTAATGATTTAATTTTCAACTCTTCCCTTGCCAAACGTGAAATGTAATCCTTAAATAACTTCTAAATTGCAGCATATCAGAATTACGTTCATTATCAAAAAAATGGGAAAAATAAGAGCCCCGCACGTTGACAATTATAAAAAAATTCAATCAAACAAACCTGTCCTGAATATCCGAATCTTGGGTACCCAGATGCAATTGCTAAACAAAAAAATATGAATTGCATGATCATTTCTGGCCACAACAATTTCTTGCAATTTGAGATCTATTTATAGCATTTGCTATAGCATTTTGTTGTTGTAAGCAAGAAGATTACTAATGAAGATATTTTTGTGTGTATTTACAAACCCACAGACAACAGAGAAAACTCGCATATGAAGTCACCAAAACAAAACATAGGAATGCCAAGCGTACATGCATTCTACGTAAATATATTATTGTTCAGTTGAGAAGGAAATAAAAATGTTTTAATAGTGATTGTGAATTTCGACTATCTAAAATGAATAAATCAGACCACAAAATTTCGGAGTTGACGGAGATAGAAACGTTCGCAAGACAAATATTTGCTCACATTCTCAAGAGAATAGGATTTTAAGAAACGAGATTTGTTCGTGCAAGGATTGAACTTTGTCCGCTCGGCTTAAACTATTCACAGTCATAATTGCGATTTAATACCTCACAGCATGTATTTTTATCTTCTATTTCAAAAACCTGCCAGTCAAAATTTTTAGCTTGGCATTATATAAAAGTAATTTCGTCCTTACTTTCTCATACAAACCGCGTGTGTAACTGATTCCAAAGACTGGTGTAACTGATTCCAAAATATACCAAGATCCCAAAGCGGCAACGACAACATCAAAACTATATCTTTATGTTTTACTAAGTTAAGAGAGCAATAAGTTGCCATACCTTCTTGATTTAACGCGAAAAAATTCCCGGTGGTGACTGAGTAACCTAGATAACATTATTTAAAAATTAAATAACTCTGAATGAAAAAAAATCATCAGACTTTTCTCATAAATGATGGACAGGACACAAACGATTCTAAATTTCAAATCTGGGATCCAAACCGTGAAAACAGTTACGCAAAGAGACAGCCCAAAAGCAAAGTACTTTAAGATCTTTCCCGAAAGTCGACTTATAAACTGGTTGCATAAGAAAAATAACAGGATATAAAAACCACAATACCTACCATTGTAAAATTTCCATCTTCTGCAGGAAACGGTGCCCACTATACTTAAATCTCGATGTTTCAAAGCCAACGTTTCCTTTAAAAACAGTTTTCAATAAGTGTAGAAACAAAGAAATTAAGAAATGACAATTGCAGCCATGTGATTTTGCTCACGTGAAAAATGAAAGCAAAGTAAAAGAGCCATTCAAATTAGGCAGATTCAACCGACAAAACTGGTGCTTAAGTTTATGTGGTTAAAGAGTTGAATTTCATATTTCTTCTTTCGGTTGAAACCCTATAAATGCTATAATGAATATCATTGGTCAAATGACAATATTTCATCGATGTTCCTGAACGGTGAATTTTGAAACGTACAATGAACATTGAGGAGATGGTTGTTTGCTATAAAACCTTACAAATTTAATAAAAAGTCATACACGAGTGATAGCTAGCTACTCATAAAACTTTCTAAATGATATTAATTGAACAATGTACGGCTTAAATTTCCATGGAATTTTTTGTGGTTCAAATAGAATGTTGAAAAGAGAAAGCAAAAACTGCACAAAAACTACCATATTTGTTTTTGAAAATGTCGGTTCAGGTTTAAGCCATTGCGGTCTACTGAAATCTATTAATGCCGTTGATGCAAAAATTACAAGTTTACAAAGCCTGGTCCATATCAATTTAGTGATGAATTGTGTATTACCTCGCTTATTGAACATCACCGCACCCATAACAACCTGTTGATTCTTTTTTAACGAAGCAGAAAATCCAGCTTGACAATAATCATAATCTATAATGATAAATATGAGTTAACAGACATAATTCAGACAATCATTGGTAAAACCTTCTTTTCGGCTTTCGTAACAGACGTCTTAATTTACATTGTCCATTATACGTATTGTTTCTCAAAATAAAACTATCCAATTAAAAGAATTTACATCGCGTGATTAGGTCATTTCTCATTGTATTTACACAGAGTATAGATAGAAATCCCTCCGTACCCAACATTATCACATCAAAACATCACAGCGGAGGAACTAGGCTTGCATGTTCAACGCTGGTGTAGAAAATCTTTTGAATCAATTCAACGCTTTTATAAACTTTGTTTTTTAGCACCACCGTAAATTTCTTTCTCAAATTTGCCTTTTCATAGCGAAATAGGTTTCAGGTCATGATTTTCCTTCTCTTCAAATCAAAAAGTTCTTTTTATGAAAGAGCCATTCAATTTCGAGGAAATATATAACGTTCGATTTACACACTTAATAGTTGTAAACCGTAATGTTGTTATCTCTCATCGGTTTAATTATTTATGCTATAGATTGCTTCAAAAAAGAATACCTTTTAAAAAAATGTTCCATATCATCTGATAAAGTTTTTTGGTCAAAAATGCATTTTTTCTATAGCTATACTTATTACGTATTTGATATGTCTTATCATATGTTTTAATTTGATATGATGGTACAACTGCTATAAATCTTGTTAAGCCCGAAGTTGCAGAGCCAATTGAAATAGCAAGTAATGTAAATTCACCCTATTGAGGAGACAACATTCATTAGTGGATGATGGGATTGTCTGAAACGTCGATGAACAAATTAAATAACAACTTATGCAGAGCTTTTTTCAATACAGCTTCAAGTTCTTATAATCACAGATTCAAAAGTCTATCTCGTTATCGTATTCATACAATCCTTACAAGTGCACTCTTGTCTTGGCAATCAGGCCATAATCATTATAAAATATATGTGATGACCTTAGTAATGAATTGGAATTCATATTTTGTTTGACTCACATGCTAGGAATAGAAGTAGTATGCCAGATACTAAAGGCACCTAAGTAGTGAATCATTGGCGACAGATCAAAATAGAGGGAGTCAAAAAGCAATGATGAAAGTTAGAAAAAGTTTTTGCGTTTAGAGAAAGGTTCTCGCAGAACATAGAATACATGGGTGATTCTCCTATTACTGACGGCTCTGCAACAGCACCAAGGATGGTTCGTCTGTTGATCTTGTTTACAATGTCTTGACCATTAGTTGAGAATGAACCTCTGAATGAGTACTATATTCCTATCCAGCAACAATCGATTATCTTGCATTATTTCTAGATCTTACTAATCAAGTCCTTTTGACAGATCAACGTTTGCAAAATCGTATCAATAATCACAATCTTCATGGCAATTTATCGGAATCAAAAACTAATTAGCTTAATTATTCCTTTAAAGCGCTTGTTGTAAAAAATGGCCCCTACACTACAACTGCACTTTCGCTTTATGTCTGTCAACAACTAAACAGCCCAAACAATCAAAGTTTTTTCATTCGCACGTACTGCTATGAATTCCTAACATTTCAAAGCAGTTTACTCCTTCTTCGATTAACGACACCTGTAAGACTGGGTTTAGTCATTTGTAACACTCACAATAAAAATCATCACAAAATAAATCATCAAATAATAATTTCAACATACTATTTCGTCCATTTTCCAGTCTACAAGGATACAATGTTCTTTCTGTAATTCTGTTCTGAAACTTTCCCTCAAGTACGACGCACTTTCCAATTAAGTAGTAAAATTCCTTGCCTTGGCTGTTTGTGGTGTATTCTGTGAATCGAGGAGCACATGTCTGACGAAAAGTCAAAAAATAGTTAATAGCGATATGTATGCAAGATTCCAAACAGCAAAGAGTTCAAAACAGTCAATGCAAGACTCAAACAACGTAATGTTTCTAATATAAAGGGTGTATCAAAAAGAGCAGACAATTTCGAAACAGCTAAAAATTTTGTAAAACGTTTCTATGATCAAAGATTTTATGTAAATATAGCTTATTTGGGTAAACAAATCATACTTTTGTATGTGATGATTTTTATTTGCCACATAAAGGCTGACTTGTCTTTTGCACCAATGTACTTGTAACATGGAAATTGTGAAATTTTTCTTAAAGATATAAATTGCCTCATAAAAACTGTTTGAACACCCCACCCCCTCGCAAAGGCCTTGTTCACATAAAATTTTGCCTTAAAGTAATCTATTAACATGAGAGTAAGCAGGCGAACGATTCATCGCTAAATTATTACGTTTACACTTCCCAAAACTCCTGGAAAAGACAAAGCGTAATGTTGAGAATGTACTATAATATAGTATTCGTTACAAATGAATTTCAATTAATTTAATTTTTTATCCTTCAAACTGTGTGCAAAGCAAATAAATCAAAGGAAACAGCAACAGTTTTACATACTGCCAAAAGCGAAATCAAAAACAATGTAGGAAAGCTAGTCAAGTAAAGAAACTTGGAAAGTGATTTTATCCAGAAAATACAATTTTAAATTATTTATTTTTCTGGCAAGTTTCATGTCAGGTCAGAATACCACAAAACTTTTCATCAGGCGACGTTTCTTTCAAATGAATACGTTTTTTGAGTGAACAAAGAATACATAGCACAGTTGTCCACAGAAAAGTTACAAGAAGAGAAAAATTCTTTTGTTCAGTATCAGAGATTATAAAATACAAACAATAAGGTCCAAAGATATTAAACTAATCATAGGCCGGTTGCACGAAGCCTGGATAGAGTTATCCATTGGATAGCAAAAATCTTCAAACTTGTAAAAAGGTGTTTATATTTTTCTTACGACAAAGAAATTTCGTAATCTTCGAAACAATATTTTATTTCAGTGATTGTTCAGTTCGAATCTTATACTTTTTGATTTTTAAAAGATTTTATAAAAGTTCAAAAAAACTTGCTTTGCTATCCAATGGATAACGCAATCCAGACCGATCTCAAATTAGTTTAACATTATTGGACGCTTTTTGTACAAACCGATCTGTGAACTCAAAAGCAATCTAAGAGAATTTGCAAATCAAACATGAAGACATGTTAAAGGACAAATTTGAGAGTTTGTTTTAAATTTGTCTGTTTTTCATTTTTCGCGTACACACTGGCCTATGGAAACGCTGTGGCTCGCTCGGAGACCTTTGTAAGAATGCTAGAGCAGGTGCAAATTCTCGACCTGGCAGTAATCTACTCTTGAGTTCTCCAAATGGTCTCCTCGATTTGCATAAGCCTGTGCAAACGCAGTAAACTATGTTAACTGTAAACATCTTTTATTTATTAATATATTTTTCAAAATAGTCAATTTATATAACTCAAATACTTTGGTACTAATTTCACTTTGCTATAATACTCAATACACTTTTAGCAAATTTGCCTTGTCACTTTGTTATGAATTTTGATCAATTTAAACTCATGTTCCACGTAAATAATAGGGGAACTGACTACTTGGTACGGTCTAGCTTGAAACTATTTTTATAGAACTATTGCAAATATTTTGAGTGAGAAGCTGAATTCTGTAAATAATATGATGTGGGTAATCTGTTAACAAACTTCACAAAAAGAAGCATCAAATGTGTAAGCACTAAAGTAGTGTCACATTTGATTTTCATATTTGACTTCAAAATCAATATTGCATTCTATAAAAAATATAATATTCTATGTATAAAGAATATACGACAAAGATCATTTGAAATGAGTGCTAAATCGTAAGAACATAAGACTTAAGTGAAAATAATATGACACACGACAAAACCGTGTGAGGTGGCAGATTTGACCTTATCACTTGTCCCACAAAAATGAGAGATACTTCTAAACATGTCGCTGACTTAATAAACTTTAATCTTGTACTAAACTATTGCAAAACTGCAATTCTTACATTTCTGTGATTGAAGAATTTTTGATAGCCATTATGTATGTATAGTAACAATAAACTTATAGTCAATGGCCCTGTTTAGATGATTTTAACAAAATTTAACATAATTTTCTAAAGGAAATAATGTTAACACAGAGCTTTTCAGAATGCTTTAAAATAAAAACTATCTGGGGGGGGGGGTGGGTTCATCAAAATTTCGAAAGAATAAAATGAAAACTGCAAAATAATGGCATTATGGGGGTTATGAAAAAGAAAGTTATAATGAAATTTTTTAACTTTACAAAGGTTTAAACTGAATGAAGTTACAAGAAACTTACAACAACTTCTTTGTTTCCATTAGAATAAGTGGTTGCACCTAGCCATTGGTTGTTCCTTCTCTCCCAACTTTCTGGCACTAGAAGGTTGTAAAACATACAAAAAAATTGCCATATGGCATTCTGTCAAGATGAACAATCAACTTCTTTCTAGCTGGGTCAAAGTCATTTTTTGGACCATGTACTAAAATAAATAACTGTCACCAGACAAATAATGCAAAAAAAATATTTTTTTAAGGCAACAGTGACTTGTATTTGACATTACCATGCATTTACATTACACTTACGTACTACATTACTAAAAGTGGGTAAGACATAAAAATATGAACAGTCAAAATGACCGGTAGGACAAGAAGTTTGCTGTTCAACAAGAATCTGTGACAATTCATTGTCAGTTCATCTGCACTATTTTAGAACCCTGCATATTCTGTTGTACATTCAGTAACTCTCTCATCATCATCGTCATTATCATCAAAATAATCTTACTAACCTGATTCAATAGATTGCGCTGTACAAGACGAACCATCGACCACACACTCAAACAAACGTCCCCCTTTTCCCCCATTATCTTCAAACTCAGGTGCACCAACAAAAATTCTGAAAAAAAATTCATAACAAATGTGTTTGTCACATGCAATATAATTAGAATAAATACATTGAAACATAAATATTTTAAAGAGACTACCGAGCCCACATATTTATTAGGCAGTCACATCTGGTTCTCATATTACAATATACATTTTGCCATGCTATTAAAAAGTATAGTTATACTGAGATAGATTAATTCTGTTATATGAGTTTCTTTCTAGACAAAGAAATTTGGAGTATTAAAATATTTGATATTGTGTTTGCTTATTTCCAAAAAATGACAACACATGCTACAGAATCAAGGGCGAAAGTTAAGTTCAAAAAAATGAGTTTAAGATGTTTTTATTTATTTAATAAAACGTAGTCCAAATAACACATAATTGTAACTAAAATTTGAGTTTAGAAGATGTATTTCTATGGATTATGTTTTATTTTATGAAATTGTCATCAAGTTAGGGGCTATTTTTATTAAAATACACTAAAACATGAATAATATTTAAATTACACAGCAGGGTTTGCAAAATAAAGTAAATAACAAGTTTCTTCTTTGTTGCATTTAACGTAAACGACAACTTTTTACATTTTTATTGCAAACATTTTTCTGCAAACTTATGCCATCTTCAGTGTGGTATAATGAATGAATATTTGAATGGAGTTAATATATAAAGAAATCTGATACAAGACATGTGTATAGACAAAAGGGTGGAACGGAAGTTATTTACAATTATGTAGTAATTAGAGGTGTTAAGTATTTACTAGTTAAAGATAGTATTGACATGCTGAATTTGTTTGTTAAGATTAGGCTTGAGTTTTTTGACGTACAGTGCTTCTTTTAGTTTTAAAGATGAAGTAGTGTGGGCACTGTTTAAAATATGAAGGCAGGATTGTGAGTATTTAGATTTGCAGTGAGGTGATGAGAAGAGGTGTTTGAATATGTAAGAGTTTTTATCAGAATTGGTATGCTCTTTAATCTGTGTGGAGAGGTGGCGGCTGGTTATCTTAATGGCACACTATAACTCTAATTTCATTATTTCAATGCCGACTTCCCATTTAGATCCATTTGCGGGAAACTGTGAGAGGTTGTGGGTTGCTAGGCTGCAATACCTTTCATGTGATCTTTTGTGCTGGAAAAGTTTTTCACTGTTATTACATGTACTTGCTTTTGTTGTGATAAAATGTGTTTATAGCAAGGCAAATACATATTCACTTAAAAGATAACAGAGGAGCATTTATATTCACAAAAGATAAACCTTGGAAAACACATTTTTGACTGGTTTTTATGCTTCTATAAACATTTATCAACTATAAGTGTTGTACTTCATCAAATCTTTGTTTTTAGTTATATCAGCCTTTTACTATCCAATAAGATATGAAACAAGAGAAGATACGATTTATATTCCAGAGAGGGGGGGGGGATTGCAAAATTGTGATGCACTTTTTCCACCTTAATTTGTAACCAGTGTCACATGACATTATGTTAGAGATACAGTGTACAACATACTACAGAAAATCATTGTGAATCTGATTGTTTAGCTGAAGTCTAAAAGTGGTTTCAAATAAATCCAAAAAAATTTACTTGGGAACCAGAAGTACACGGCTGACTGGCTGAATGCAAGATGACAAGAAATGAAATGATCTAAATTACTAAAAAAATACAATACCCAAAAGCCTTAACAATATATCTGTCTTTGAAATAATAGTAAACCACCCAGGGCTTTTCCTAGCATTAAATAAAGTTTAATGTTTTAAATGGTCTGTTGTCAAATCATTCATTATTACACTTATGGTGATCAAGGAAATAAAGTTTTAAAGTTTATACCAAGTTTGAAATACATGAAAAGCCATGGGCGTCATTTGTCATTTATCCAGTCTTGCTAAGATTATTCAAAATATTTACAAATGTGCAGGCAACAAATTACAGAGGGAGCTGAACTTGTCAAATGTATATGGACATTTTGTTAGTGTACAGGAACTTGGTCACATCCTCAAATATGACGATCAAAGCAATTAAGATATCAATGAAAGACGTTTTCTGTATAAGGAGAATTGAAAGTAGCAGTTTTTTATAAATTATGTTATGGGAATGGGTATCACAGGATAGACATTACTTCGTTTAGTTCTTATGATATACTGAAATCGCACATCAAAAGAACTTGCAATATGATTATACCAACAACCGGTTCTGATGAATGAATCAAGATGGTATTTTAATAAAGAGTATCTATACGATTGGCTGGCGCCTCGCATATTTCATATAGCAAATAATACATAGAGATTTTAACACAATACAATTTACAAAGGTTGTACAGGGTCCAAATTAACCAAAATTATGTGATGACAACATACTTACGTTGGTTGGCCTGAAAAATCCCGTCCAGGAGAAACCTTTCCACTGTGTAAAGTCAAACTGTAGCCAAACATAGAATCATTCCTTTCCGAAAACACCTTTGCATTTGTAGTTTTTATGTCAATTTGCTCAATTTTATAACATAAGCAAAGTTTAAAAAAACCAAATATAAGTAATATGTGTAACACAGACATTTGAATCGATTGACAACTTATAACACGCATATATTGATTAGAATTTGAAATAAAGTCACTGCAACATGACACAATTCGCTCGTTTGCTTTTAAGATTATGAGTGTTCGAGTGAATTTGAGTTATGTATACTGATATTGGGCATGAAATAGAAGGTGTGGCGGATATCGAACGTCATCGGAAGTACTCGCTAGACTTACGGACGATGCCAAAACTGTCTAATCAGCAATATCCCGCCCATATAATTGTGACTTGGTGGTTTTTTACATTTATGTTAAAATCTTGGAAGTTTCATGTTAGAAATAAACCTTTGTGCTTTTCTGAAAATTTTGGTTAAGAAATTTCATGAGCTTATAATTGCTAAAGAATACATATAAATTTACTGAACAACTCGCAAATTTCGATCTATGATTAGCACTGGTAGGGGCGAAACTTGAACTTTTTGTTAGAAAGCGGTGGATATGGGAGGAATTAAATGCTCTGCAAAAAATAAGAATACGAAACATCCTACAGAATTGCGACAGAACGAAAGGCAGGTGCAGGCCAAACAGTTGTTCAGGCAAAGCTTTTCACCAAAACTGAATTCACAATCAATTTTTCCAAAACTATTATTGTGTCAAATAAAATTCACTTAATATGGATAACTGTTTTAATCTATCCAAATACATCGTTTTTCAATTTTCCTGCAAATTAAATCTTTGTCATGTATCATTTTAACAGTGTGAGGTGAGGGTCAGTCATCCCTTCAAAACCATATCAAAATTTTGATGATTTGACATTAAGAAATGTGAGCACGCGGATTGCAGTGATTCATATTTCCAGTTTACGTATACGTACACAACAATGTCAAACTCAAACCAAAAGTAAGTAACCTGTAGAAGGTAACGCTAATGACATGCCAGGTACATCGATTAAAGAACACTGGATGGAAGCCAATTACCAACAGTCATACTCATGCGTAGAGCCATATATTGAGCCTTCCTAACACTTTTTTGTGAAATTATGAGATGTCAAGTCAAGACTCAAGATTTGATAAATGACTAAACAAACATTAGACTTTTTATGACACAGTTTTCAGCATTTCATCATAATGTCAAAGATAAAGTGCATCTGTTGTTTTGTTGAAAGTTGAAACCCATATTTAAATTTCGAATATTGTTCATGGAGTTTTTAGATCAGATGTACAATATCGATATATTTTGCAGTTAACTAAAATGGAACTTCTATGTAAAATTGTCTGGAATCCTTAATGTTTTATGAAATCGTTCACACAATCAGATCATATTTCAATATAAAAGTAAAATCTGGTGAAAGTTAGGAGGATTTTATTGAATAAGCTTTTCTATATTCCAGATTTAAAACACAGAAATCGTTCTTCTGAGAGTCAAAATTATTTGGTTAAAATTTCGACTAGTAAACAGATACAAAAAATAAAAAATTCTTTTTATCTCATAAATCAAGCAAAAATGCAGTGTTGAATTACTAAATGATAAACAGATGGCGCCCCATAGTTGGTCATGTTGTATCAATACTACGAAGTTCGTTGAAATATGCCCAGTAACTTCAGAAACAACCATCTTTCTCAGCAACCTCAATATAGATACTTTACATAAAACTTGCCTTTACAAGTTACAACAGCAAATGGCCAGCGCAAGAACAGAATTTCAGGAATTTATTGTTGATACAATTTTGATAGGGTCAACTGTTACAAAAGGCTATAATTTGATCATGCATGTTTTCAAGCAATTTAAAGTTTCAAACTTTTAACTGCTCAAAAGCGGGAGGGAGCAGCAGACATTTCTGCAAAACATTTTTTATGTACTGGAATAAATGATATCTACCTACTCCCCCCTTCCTTATTCTTCAGGCTGAGAGGACGGTGGGTATTTTTATGTAGACGACCGACGAGAAAGGAGTTTTAGGAGAAGTAAAAACAAAGAAAACCCATCTTCATTAAAGAAAGAAATAGTAAATCGAAAAACATAAGTTATATCGAAAAAAGTTTTTTTCGTATTATGATAAGTACAATACAAGAAAATAAAAAGAACGAAACGATTCTATTTTTGAATATTATTAATTCCCATTGAGTGGCCGATAGTCTATACAAAAATAATGTTTTTAATATCCAACATGACTAGTACTCGAATCAATACTATTCAAATCAACTGTATTCAAATTGGCATAGAGATGTAGTACTTCCAGGTTACTTTTAAGATGTAAGAGTGCTACTTTATATCCTTGGTAATATAACTCTCCATCGCCAGAATCCCTTTCCCTCCAAAAACCCAGGAAAATCATTAGAAAAAAGCAACATAAATTGCAGTACAAGAAGACATACGCATAGGTGAAAAAGCTAATGGCGATGAAAGATTGCAATGGGAGAATGCCTGTGCGACTGATTGTTGTTTAGCGGGAACAAGAGTAAAAAGGCAAGATCGCTTGCCACAAGATATATTTGTTTGTTGGAGAACAAGCTTTTGTTGTGCAGAAAATCAGAAAGCATGCAAAATATACTAAGTTTGGAAAGCGAAGAGAGTAAATTACAGATGTTTTTTACAGGACTACATCACGCAAGCCTTATGTTGAGCCATAATCGCCAAAAGTATTGGTAAAAATTGGCATCGATGAATCTCTGTGAAAGTGATTTGGTTAATCAATAAGGTCAGAAGAAATATCATCGACGTTCTCAGGTTTAAAGTTATCAGACGTCCTTTCATTTGCACCACAGTCATCGTTTTGCCCTTCACTAGATTCAATTAGGATAAATTCTTCCTTCTGCTTTTGAAAATGCCGGTAGTCCGCAAGTAGAGGAACTGGTAACGAGTTCGGTAGCTTATTATCACTTGAGGTTTTGTGTTGGGTGTAAGAGATGTAATAGCCGTGTCGATGTTAACTGAATTCGGAATCCTGTTGAGCCATGAAAAGTTAAAGTTCCTTTCAAGATGTCACGAACCTGGAAGCACATAGTGAAGATGCAGGTTGTCAATATATTGTATCAGCATATCGATATATAAAAGACAACTTTCTCAGCTCATCGTTTTACCTGTTTTAGACCAGCCAAGGACAAGTATACAACATCCATACATTTCTCATCTTGAGTTATTTGTTCTTGTAGATGATCTAAATAATAAGCACATTAGCAAAGACACTATATTTTAGAGGTAAATATGTATCAAGAAACACTCAAAATACCAAGTTACGGATTTTCCAAATTAAAAGTTATCTCGTACAGCCATAACCTCATTTAATGCCATTTCGTAAATAATCGTACAGGAATTATAGGAGTGAAAGCCAAAAAGTACATCAAGCACCAATCAATATTTTATATAAAAAAGTGATAAATGAAAGCATCGTACTTATGTAGGTGTCCATTTTAGAACCACAATAGATCGATATTGACTGAAGTTTATCTACTTCCGCTTTGAAATGAGAGACTTGATCTTGAAGACGTTCATGGTCCTAGAAAATATCAAACACACGCTTGTTTGAATGTTCCCTGTTAACTTTATAGACATGGTGATTTAAATACAAGTCTTAAGTAACGACAACTGTTCAACGAAGAGTAAAGGTGTTTTATCAAGTTACTAAGTTTTATACGTACCAAATACTTTTCAAAAAGGCCGCAAAGATATTTTCAAAAAATTTTTCTCAATCCATTAAAACTATTTAAGTTTTCACGCAGCTGTAGATGAGATTGATTTATTTTATGTAAGTATAATTTTTCAGCCTTTACAAAATTTGAAAAATAATAGAATAAACTTGATTTTATTTAGCCACAAATTCCAGAAATAACAAATTTCTCTAAGAAAATAAATTACATGGCTATAATAGTACGTTTATTCGATTTATCTAATGTTTTTGTTTGATTTAGTCTAGTTTTTGTCATGACTTAGCTTGTCGTTTTTTGCTGAGTTCAAATAAAAATATTGGCATTTCAACGATTTGCATATGCATAAATTAATTTCAAGTTTTCACTGCAAATGAAATATTCTAGGAAATAAATATTGAGACAAAAGACAAAACAATTTTCTACATCAGAAGAAAACAATTGTTTCTACACATAACAATTGCACAGTTTCTACACATCAGAAAAAAACAAATACACAGTTTCTACACATCAGAAGAAAACAATTTCACAGTTTCTACACATCAGAAGAAAACAATTGCACAGTTTCTACACATCAGAAGAAAACAATTGCACAGTTTCTACACATCAGAAGAAAACAATTACACAGTTTCTACACATCAGAAGAAAACAATTGCACAGTTTCTACACATCAGAAGAAAACAAATACACAGTTTCTACACATCAGAAGAAAACAATTTCACAGTTTCTACACATTAGAAGAAAACAATTGCACAGTTTCTACATATCAGAAGAAAACAATTTCACAGTTTCTACACATCAGAAGAAAACAATTACACAGTTTCTACACATCAGAAGAAAACAATTGCACAGTTTCTACACATCAGAAGAAAACAATTGCACAGTTTCTACACATCAGAAGAAAACAATTTTCACAGTTTCTACACATCAGAAGAAAACAATTGCACAGTTTCTACACATCAGAAGAAAACAATTGCACAGTTTCTACACATCAGAAGAAAACAATTTTCACAGTTTCTACATACTTGCTGTAAAGCAGTGATGTCAGTTCGACTTGGATGACGAACTTTCGATGATAGTTTTGATAAAAACGCCGTACTGGCAGATGTTCTGTTGGATCTTGGTGACATCATAAATAAATCGTCATCATCAGGATCACTGGGGAACATGTGGGATGACGGGGATGACTTGTTGTTCTCTAAATTGTTCGCAATATTACAACAATGCACAAAATTCTTCGTCAACAGTGATTAAAATAAACAAAATCATGTGAACATTCACCATAAAGAAAAATATTTCCAGACTCCAAGAAATTTTTGCCAGATAGTATAAATATTGAACAAACAACATTACACGAAAATAATTTCGTTCAAAGTTTTTTCCATTTCAGCATTATACTTTTTGATAAAAAAAACTGATGATGATGAAATCAAGATATTTACCCTTCATTTCAACTGGTTTCTTTTTTTCATTACCAGAGGATTTATTTTCCAATCTGTTTTCAGCATTGTTTGTATCATTGATTTCCGGTCCTCTCTTTGATATAATTTGTCTGGTGCCTCGCAAGAAAGCCTGTAATCCATTCGTTATTCTTGAATGAAAAGCATCTTGGTTCTGCAATAATTCATTTTGATTGAATGAAGAAGTCGCGCATGCGTATTTGAACTATTTTGTAGATTAACTTTGGCCAATGAAAGTAAGCACAAGAAAATTACAGACTTGACTGTAGTTAAACTATAAAAAGTAGCATGAAAAAAGTAGGAACCAGTTGTAGTTCTTGGAGAAATAGGAAAAAATTATTATTTATGAATATCAAAATATATTGTCTCATATTACACAATGCACCATTAAGTCTAAAGATAGAAATTTAACAGAAATACAAATTGTTCATAATTCCAACAATTCCCACTTAAATTATTCAAAATAGGCAATACATACGGGAAACTCAGGAGTGAAAGTGTGTAGAAATGCTTCTCAATAGCTGGATAATTTCTCCAAAAGATTTCACTGCACGAGACGAGGATGCAACCCATCTAGTTGTCAAAATTTTGTCGACTTTGCGCAGTTAGTTATCCAGTTCTGCAGCAATAATTTTTAGTTCTCTCTGCAATTTAGCAGACTGAGAATAAATTGCATAAATCTTACCAAAGAATCTATTGAGATTAAGGTAACTGTTTTTAACTGGTTCAAACGAGTTTTGTCTTTCTTACATTCAGAAAAAGTTTATTAGTTTGTTTAAGCAATTTTCCCTAAAAATTATTCTTCAAATTATAAATCTTGGATTTCTTCCTTTGGAAATCTCCCAAACTTATTTCTTAAAATAAAAATCCACGAACAATACCAACAGCCTCAATAAAGTCCGATAAAGCCCGTGATAAAGTCCCAAGTCCGATCAGCATAAAATCGAGAAGATGGCAACAATGTGCTACAGTCTGAATATGCTCAAATAGTTTAGCGAATAAACTATCATTCTGGTAAATATTTTTTATCGTGCAAGCACCTTAGATGTTTTTATCCGTCCCTAGTTATGCACATTTAATAGTAAGCTCAATTTCCTTGTTTCTTTAAAATGTTACTGAACTCATGAAAAAGCTTAAAAGTTTAAACTTTTATTCGCGACTGTAGGTAGGTCATAGTGTGGTATGCTTTAGTCAGTACAATTTTAGTCTTACTTGTGACGTTTCTACTAATTAATACCAACCATTTGTTTGATCTCGTTCTACTTGTCACTTGGTTTGAAGAGCGTTACTCATACAAAATTATTAGTTTTAACATACAATTATGAAATATTACAGCTTTATAATAAGGCAAATGTTTCACACACATACAACCTTGTGCTGGAAATTATTGATTCATTGTACGAGTTTTACGTAAATAAAATTGTCAAGTAAGTCTGCCGTACAAACAGTGCATTAATTACCAATAATACAAATTAAAGAAGATAAAAATCCTAATTAACTTCAGTCTGTTGTGCTTCATCTGTTTGCTGAGGTGATATCTCCTTTGGAGGTCGATTTCGTTTAAAGAAACCAAGCTAAAATACATAAAATAACTTGTAATGTGAAATCTATTTTAAAAATCATTTGGCTACTAAACATTCCCCGGAGATGTTTGTGAGAACTTTCGAACAGAAGCAATTTAAAAGCCTGTGCAAACACAGTAAATATCTTTTATTCCTTAAATGCTATATGCAGTGCACGAACAAAGATAAGACCTTTCCATGAGAAAGAAAATTAAGGAGTATAGCGCAGTCTTGTAGAGTGGTAAAAGAAATACTACTAACCATAACTATGTGACTGTGACAAACACGAATTACGCGACATTTACACATGAGTAAGTCGTGAAAAAAATTGATAAAACAAAAATGGCCATCCTGACTTTAAAAAAAATTACGACTGCCAAAGAGTATTTTGGTAAAACACGACAATAGACACTCCGCAAATAGTAAACATAATTTAATCTAAACGTTCCGACAAATGTTACATGCCATCTTCAGTAGAAACTGTTTGCTTTTGGCCTAAACTCCGCGTCACTTATCCTAAACTTCACCAACTTGCTGTTGCTATTTTAAAAACAATTTCTACTGAAGATGACATGTAACACTTGTCGAAACGTTTAGATTAAATAATGTCTACTATTTACCGAGTGTCTATGATCTTGTGTTTTACCATCCTGAATTTATTATAGCAAATTCAAACCTTATTAACACAAAACTTTTTGCTTACTTTGAATAAAGCGAAAATACAAAGAGCCAGTAACAAAACACCACCAAGCACAGAGACAATAATAACCCACACTGGAGTTGATTTGGATTTTCCAGGAGCATTTTCAGGAGTTACTCGAATTGTGACCTACAATAAACGATATTGTAAAAAACAACAGTTCAAACAAACTCAGAACGCCTTCCTTAAGGGTAAACCTGTATGAAAGTTATCAAACATGTATAAAAATTCGCATGTTTAAGAAAAAGTAAAATTGCTAACCTCCTGATGTCCACGATGAGGTGATTCGCTCTCATTAAGATTGTTGACATATTCAGCATTAAATTGGACAATCATGAGAAGATCTTTAGGATAATACTAAATCCGTATAATAAAGTTGCAGATATTAATGGCAAAGTTTTGCAAATTTCAAAAATACTTATGGCAAAGTTAGGTAGTTGATAACGCAAATACCAATATACCGCCATCAGAATACCGGTAAATACAGGTATACCGACATCAGAATACTGGTATATACAGGAATACTAACATCAGAATACCGGGACATACAGGTATACTGACATCACAATACCAGTATGTAAAGGTATACCGACATCAGAATACCGGTATATACAGGTATACCGACATCAAAATACCGGTATATCGATAGTGAATTTGAAGTTTATTCTTTGAAAAATAAAAGCATATAGCACGTGTTTCCACGAAAAACAACCAAAAATATTTGTTCTTCAAATAGAATTTTGACGCCTTTTTAAAATAGGTATTTATGTATTTGTCTTTGAATTGCTAAACCAAAACTGCCGAATCGTAAGATGTATTTATGAACTAGTTATTATTAAGATGTATGTGGCTGCATGTTTTAACTTTAGTTTGTAAACGTGATTGTGATAAGTTCTACTGGACGACACTTTCATTTCGTTACTACGCAGTATAAACTACCAAAATAACCGTATTCATGTGTACAAAATATCACCAAAAACCGATTTCAAAATAAATTTTGATATACCGGATTTCAATAATCAACTCTCATTCAACTACTGTCTGTGTTGGGAAGTTGTTGATGCAACACACCTCGTCAAAGTATTTTTGGAAGTAAGAAATGTATTACCACAAATGTTCATTTATTTTATGCCTTACCGCAGCAAGAGTCGCAGTCCACAGTCGCACATTTAAGTCTGCCACAAAACGACCATTTCTTTCAATTTCTTTGATTGTACAAGTCACCAGTCCTGAATCCATCGTCCGAGGTGACTAGAAAGAAGAAAGTTTGACAACAATGGAAAAAATTGAATCAAAGGCATTGCACCTGACTCGTGGATGAGATGAAAAAACAAATTCGAAGCAGTTTGAATGTTTTGATTAAAACAGACTAAGTAATTCATCAATATTACTTGATGAACAACGATACAGGCAAAAATAACGCGTTTTTTGTATTTGACAAAACACATAATTTGATTCTACAAGACACTTTTAAAGTAAAGTATTCTTAACACTTGAGAAGAACTCGAATATCTAAAGCTTTAGGCAATAAAACAAATAATAAAAATACTGTGGATAATTTATCTAAAAGTTCCAGTATACGTTGTCTGTTGTTATTTTGCCACTTCTAACCCGGCTGCAAAACTCCAAGCAATTTCATACAAAACGAGATTTAAATCAAAGTAATTGCACTATCGCCTCACAAACTTGGGTCAATTTTCAGATATTTTGCTTTCGTAGTGGTCGATCTTATTTTATTTAAACCATTGTCTAAGATAAACTGCAATCGTGACCATACCAGGGTTTCTGTATTTCTTCTCCGTCTAGTTCTTCCTTGCGAGTCCTGATAAAAAAATAAGTCGGTTACAAGGCATCTACGAATTTGAAGTGAAAGTTTCATACACTTAAACAAATAAAGTTGAGGATAATTTGACTCTGAAGATGACTACCGCTAAGGTTGTCGAAACGTCAGTCAACATCAACAAAAACAGTCCTTCTCAGGATTATACTAACCTGGACGATCTACATCCACAAACATGTAACGATATTCCCGGGTTCAAAGCATTTACTTTAAGTTAAATACATCGGGCAGTCTCAAACAATTAGTTTATTCCTGGTTATCCTTACCGCAGTTAAGGACAGGTTAGCAGGATTCAAGGCTCTTCCACTGCATACTGCGTTGTTGGCATCACCTCTTCCCTGAAACGACATACGTAACTTAATGTTCATTAAACAGTTGGTAAAGATGTAAATAAGATTGTTTACAGAAACGTCTTAAACCTAATGCTTTATATCAAAAATTGTATGTAGTTTACATCAAACAAACAAAACATAACATTTATGACATAGAAACAACAATTTCAACATAGCCTTGTAAACATTTCCACCATAGCCTAGCAAACCTTTCCACAGTGCTTTACAAAAACTAAACAAAATTAAACTGTGAACTTTTCCATTCCAATAATCCACTTCGATAAATTCACAGAAAAACATCGCCGATGTAAAACATTGTCAAAATAAAAATCATACAACTGCCAGAACTGACCTTAATACTGACAGGATACAGAAGATAATTGAATTCCTTGTCTTTTTCGGTTAGAGGGACGCTTATATGAAGTTTCACATCTTCTAAATCACTTTCACCTTGATTTGCAACCTAAATGAAGTATAAACGTCGTGTAAGTAAACCTATAATGATATCCAATGGATTAAAAACAAAAAATCAACTCAAAAGTTGACGGGCATTTATGTTAGGTAATATAATGCATGCAAATAGAGGTACGTCAGATGTCTGATTTAAGTCATACAAGCATCATCAAAAAGTCATAGAAACCAAATATATTGAGACAAGAAATTTAGAAATATATTCAATGGCACCAAATAGCGAAGATAATTTTCTTTTTCATAGTTAGGAGGTGACCTCAAAATGACTATATAACTAATTATTTTTCGTTATACGAGATTATAGTTTTGAAAAGAATATTGGTGGAAGGGAAATTCATCTTCTCCTTACCTCGATGGTAATGGTTATTGGTGGTCCAATAGAAGAAATGTTCACAGAGCTATAGTCGTTGTCTATTATATTTAAATCAGGACCTTTTCTGGATAGTTTAGTGACTTAGGAACAGTTGTGCTAAAAACACAAAGTTCATCTTTTAAATAAAAGGTTTTAAAGTTTATCAGTTAGTAATATCGATAACAGTGGCGGATCTAGTGTACGTCAAAATATATAATATATTTGACCAAAGTCACTGCGCATCTGCAAAAGGTTGTTTACGATAGATGACCGATTTACGTGTATTTAAAAGACAACGAGTGCAACGGTAGCTAAGTTACATCGATATCCAATGATTAGCTTGTAAAGAAACTTCTTTACAATTCACAATACTCCTTAAGTTTTCAGACACAGCAGTCTTCTTAGTGAGATGCAACTTAACCAAACTTAAAATAAAAGCAGATAGTCCCACATACCCGGTAATTTCTAGTCTGACATTGCGCTTGACAATCATAGAAATGGTGGCGTTGTTATTTTCATCATTAATCTCGCTTCCGCTTAGCCTAAAACAAAGTAAAACATAAGAAAGAAATCAAATGACATGTAACGTTAAGAATTAACATCACAAAAGCACATAACGCATTGATTGTATGAAAGAGTTTGCTAAATTCGAGGCTAAATTACAAAGATCGATAACCATCTAAAACAATGAAAGATCTCTTTCATAGCTTATTTATATACGTTACTGTACAAACACAACACCAAGCAGGAGAAGCGAACAACACTGTTCAAAAAAACCTATGTTATCATCACGATTGAATAGATCAATCTCGTAGATCCACGATTTTGTAAAGAATTATATTTCTCAAGAATTCTAATATTCAGAATATTATATTCCTCGAGGATCTGTTATAATGAGGTTAATGTAATTGATCATATGTAACACAAAATATTAGTTGTACGCACGGTTCAACGTAGCGTTTATAAAGCCACAAGAAGCATGTAACTTTAACAAATATTCCGTCTTATATGGCAAATAACCAATTAAAATATAAAGAAAACAGACTTACGCGTTCACCCTAACAAAAATTTCCAGATTCTTTTTTTTACCAAGTACAGCGGTGGTCGAGTATGTAATTTCCAGTGTCACCTGTCAAAAAAATCTAAAGATGAACAACTTTACGCTCACATAGTTTATATCAGTTGTAAAACTTCTCAATTAAAAAAATATGCCGGTCTTGCATGTGCTACGCTTGTTCAAAGATTCTGGTGTTCATAGAACGTGTCGTTTCACCCATGCTGAATTTCTAAATGAAAGACATCACTTAACATCCAAGGCTGCTCCATTCCCCTGAACCTTTTTAGTTCAACCCCTCTTTTTTATATTTGCACTTTTTCCCATCACTCTCCAGCCCATTTTATCTTGTCAACTCCATTTTACCATTCCTTACATAACATCAGATCTTAACAATAATCTGAAACCTTTAACTATGTAATGTATTTCATTTGTATCTCATTTGTATTTTTGGTTTGTAGTTGCAGTATTTTCTAAATGATATTTTAATAGGAGATTTTTGTCGACAATTCTGTCCCGATTTGAGCTTAAGTTTTACCTTTGAATGCGGAGGAATTGTAAATATAAGTTTTATTGTAGTTATAGGCTATAGCTCATACTTTGACTCTATTATATATATAATACACTGTCATTTTTTATGTTTTGTCGGACCAATAAAAACTTGAAAGAAAAACACATTTAGCTTTGCATTTTCCTGACTAGAGCATTGCGAGATACACAAATTGTGTGCAAATATGGCGAATAAAGTCTTTTGCATAAGTCGCCGAAACGAGACATATTAGATGTTTGTGATCTTCTGCAAAGCTTATACTTGTAAAATATCTTTAGCTGCTGAGTGTTAAATTCAAACTTTAATCAGTAAAATAGAGAGCGGAGTATACGCTAAAACGCAACCGTTTTGGTAATTAACGAAAATATATAGTGTATGCTACATCCTGAAGAAACATAGCGATCAATAATATGGACGTCAGTTGGCCTAAAGGTCGGATGTCTTTTTTGCGGAATAAAATAATGAACAGCGCATGTGCGTGGCAACCCACAATAATAAGGCTTAATGATTCACAACTACTTCATATGAAACCCAAATGGCTAACCTTTTGATTTGGATCAAGGGGTCCTTGAAGTGGAAACAAATCGTAATCAGGTCTACTTAGTGTTGCATCTGGCACAATTCTGAACGATCTCTATAAAATTGACAGAGAAAAATTCACAATGTCTACAAACAAATCGTTATCGTTCATTAATACATAGTTTATTAACAAAAATACTGAAACAATAACTTACATCGGATACATCGAAATCTTCATACTGTAATGACGGGTCATGAGTTAATGCTATGGTAGGATTGTACGCAACTTCGCCAGAACTGCTGAGTTCAACAGTCACTTTCCTGGAATTGGTTTCACCAATAATTATTTCATTTTCATCAACACTAAACAAAAAAAGTTACACACCAAATCAATCCAATCCAGTTAATACAAATAATATAGCTGCTGCACACTAAAGTTAAGATATACGAAACAATGTTAGTGATGACAATATAACAACGATTCGCTACGAGCCTACGACAATTGAAAATTTTGCTTAAACACATGTATTTAGTACAAATACATAAAATTAGTTAAAATACACAATAAAGTTATTCAATGTTGACAAAGCTAAAAAGTGAACGAAAAACGTTTTCAAATGTATTTTGTTGTTGCTCTTTTGAACTTGTCTTTCAATACCTATTCAAGTATTTCAAACCAAACATGTTTTCTTTCAATGAGCTCAGAATGATTGATGGTCGCTCGGTATATCACCAAAAACTGGAAGCTACGAGCGACCGACGCTTCCGAGTATTTGAGCCCTTTTCGACAATCTCCCCAGCGTGTAGTAAGTAGTTTTAAATAATTTTGTTAAAATTTCATTTCTTTTGAAAAACCAAAGAAAATCAAACACGCATAGTCGCGCAAATCTAAAAGTGCAAGTAAAGAATAAACGAAAATGTTACCTTACTGTCGTTTTGAGATCATAATTGCATTCGTTGTCAGTACAATTCACAATAATGGTAGCCTACAAACAGGTTTTCTCAGTACAATCATTATTACTTCACAATGATGATACCCGGCAAATAGTTCGGCAGTTATATTGCGAAGTGATAATTCGTCAATATGTGCGATTCGCCAATGAAATGCTAATTGTTTTACA